TACAATTTATTCTCTTTATAATCAAGTTCATTCAATAGTTTTATAGAAATATACCTAATTTTAATCACAAATCAAATATTAATAATAACTTAACATTTACATTTAAATCTTTCGTTAATAAAAATCCTGTAATTAGCAAAACGCAAGTTACATTTGAAATAAAATAATATGTTGTTCCCGCCTTTTTTTCAAATAATTAAAATTGAATACGATCGAAAAGTTTATCGAAGAAATTTCCGATAAAGTTCATAAAATGAAAACTAAACTAAGAAAAAAAAGTTTCCCCTCATTGACTAAAAAATTCCTTAAGAATATAAAATTCAGATATCATCGCTGTTTATCGATATACACGATTTCTCGTGCATCGGACAGTCGCGGACGCCATAAATGCACGCGGGTTTGCAAGTCTAATCGCGAACGATTGAACGCCGTCGTCGAAGATCTATCGCAAACATTTCCCCAAAGTTGCAAGAGCCCGAGGGAAACTTTTAATATTCAGCGATCCTTGAATTCCGATCGCGCACGCCAAGTTCGAGAAAAGCAGAGAGAACAACGCGCGCGCAACGAGAATAATAGTCTGTTCCAGCAATTTTCAAAGGCAACGGCGTGCGTCACGATGTCTAGCCGATTCAGGGCTGGCGCGCACGTACTTTTCCCGGGGCTATTACGATGATAGATACCGATGGATCGTCGAAACGTAGCCCATCGTTGCCGAGCGAAAACAACGGGGCACGGCGGCGGGCGGGGAGGGGGGCGTCGGGATTTGCCGGGGAACATCGTCAGTGTTCGGCGACAGACGCGATTTCCGCCGCGAAACCAAAGCGAAATAAATTCATTTTTTCGCACGATCGCAGCGTTCGTCTCCGTGTAATTTACACCTCGTAAAGGCAAACGCTCCTGGCGAAACGCCTTGGAACAACGGCTGGGAATCTGCGGCGAAACCTCATTATCTATCGACCCGAATTTCATCGGGGTTTGCCCACGACTTTCCGGACTTTTCGGGCTAATCGGTAGACCTGCGACGACCCAAGGTACTTTCGGACGTAACCAAACTTTTAGAGAAGCAATTCCGATAACGTGGACGTTTTTTTTTGTTTAGCGAGTCGCGCGAAGGACGTCGCCGAAGGGCTTCTGGAAATATTCGAATCATTTAGCCGCTCAAATTGATTTCAATGAAGTGAGATTTGTATTGCATTGTCTCGATAGTAAATGCAAGATAAAAGGATGCAAAGGAGCAAGTTTCTACACAATTTCAGTAGACAAATTGCAAGGACATGTACAAGGGAATAATGAAAACAATTATATTGTAAAGTTTGAAAAAGGTTTTAGAAATGTTACAATGTTAAGGTTATGTCAACGCTGGTTATGTTCCTAACGCTGGAATCGTCAAAAGAGTGCAAATTATTCATTCGCTCAAATTGATCTCACTGAAATGACATTTCTATTGTATTGTCTCAATAGTAAATGCGACATAAATTCAGTAGACAAATTGCAAGAACATGTACAAAGGAATAATGAAAAAACAATTATATTGTAGAGCTTGCAAAATGTTTTAGAAACGTTATAACGTGTTTTTGACACTGGAATTGCCAAAAGAGTGCAAATTATTCATTCGCTCAAATTGATTTCACTGAAATGAAATTTCTATAGGATATTTTAGTGTATGCAAAATATTATAATATTATATTAATTATAATATTATTGTAATATTAT